GCTTCTGTATTTATATAACTATATTCCAGTTTTCTTGCCATGGTCATTTGTGCATAATTCTGTCTTTTAACTTTTATTTTTTAATTGTGTAAAATATACATACAAACATTCACCACTCTTACCCATTTTTAAGTATCAATTTTATTTTTTGATAGGAAATAATCATTTTCACTTACATTAATAAAGTATATAAATTTAAGTTACCTAATCACATTAGCAAGAATAATTTGTTAAGAGTTTGGGAAACTAAAAACATGATTTTATGTAAGCTTTATAAGGACAGGAATTTGTCTGTTCTGTTTTATTGACTGCTGTGCTTCCAGTTCTAAAAGTGCCCTCACTATAGTAGGCACTCAGACACTATTAAGGGAATGATTGAATGGCTTCTTGGTAGTTATAACTCAGCTAGAGGTGACATAAGTAGCAGGTATATCATGATATAGCCCATTCGTTTTTTGGTTTTGCTCTGTTTTGTTTTCGAGACAGTGTCTTGCTCTGTCATTCGGCTAGAGTGCAGTGCATGATCTTAACTCACTGCAACCTCACATGATACTGGGCTCAAATGATCTCCTGCCTCACCTCCTGAGTAGCTGGGACTACAGGTGTGCACTAACACCTGGCTAAATGTTTCTATTTTTTGTAGAGATGGGGTCTTGCTCTTGCTCAGGTTTGTCTTGACATAACCCATTTGTAAATGTTTAGATGCTATGGGCATCAGTGTGTTTTATAGAGGATGGAGAGCATTGGTTAATCTAATGGTTTAAGTGGAGATCATTTAATAGAGCTTTGATTTTATTTGGAAAAAATCTGTAGTGCTTAGCACAATATCCTACATACAAAAAGTATTCAGTAAATATTAATCTTTGTTAATTTGTTGTTGATGTTTTTGTTCTTGTACTCTTTACTGAGGAAGGGAGAGAGAGAAAGAAAGGGGGCTGATAAAAAGGTTGAAAGAAGTAAAGAAGGGAACATCAGGGAAGAGTGAAGTGAAGCACAATCAATATTTTGCACAGAGTCTTGGAGTCTGGAGGGGAAAAGAGACTACCCTTCCAACAAACAGCTTACTAAACTATGTTGTTAATATGAACTCAAAGAAGAATAAACTTTATTCCTTTGATCAAAGAATATACTCCGATTATTCAGTTTCAATAAGCATTCTCTTGCTTTGTTGTTGTTTGAATGATCCTTCTCTCTCTTGTCAGTTCTCTTAATGGGAAAGTCTCCTCAATACCACCAATGGCAACTTGAATTGGATGAAGAGTTAAATCATATGTTACGCACAAAAAATCACTTTCTTTGTAGCCTTCACCAGGTTGGGCAGCTTGGCTATGAACTAGAGTTTAGTTATATTAAACAAGCAATTTAGCCCATCTCTCTCACAGGACCTCCAGACTCCTGAAAATTCTTACCTACTACCAGAATTTCCAGGATTCTCAAGAGCTTATTTTCAACTGTACAGTTTGTCTTTGTTATAACACTTAAACCTTCTCTAAAAGTCTGATGCCTGAACATTGCTTGCAGTAGGGTTGCCTGTCACTTCCACTGCTGCTGATACCTCCATGAAAGGCTCTCTGTTGGTGTTTTGAGGATTATCTCTCAGTGATCCCCAAATGGCACCCTGAAGAGTCAGAGCTAGGCTGGCTTGAACTGCAGCAGTGAGGCCACCACTGTGTCATACTTTGTCACATGGTTCTTGAGGCAGCACTGATTGTATTCATTATATCACAAAGTCTCTGATGAAATTAACCACTTTATGTGGATGGAAGTAAGCGGACAGTATTCACCATGCCATACCCTTTATTATCATCACCCTGTACACACACATGCATGCATACATACAACACACACATTCATCTCCTGTTCTTCAACCAAAAGTAAGACACTTCTCTGCATAAACTCATTCAAATAAATGTTTTGAGAGATCGATAGCCCTTTCTTTCAGCAAACAGCCAGGCTCTGATCATCAGAATATTGCAGGGGGCTACAGGGTGGGTACCATTCCCCTTAATTAAGATAAGAGAGATATCTTTTTTTACAGCCTGTCACCTACTTTGGGCATCTGATCATGTTTTCTCAGTAGCATATGAACTCTTTTATGGGCAATGCAGAAAGACTGCTGGCTCCAAGTAAAAGAATATCTGATAAGCAGTGGCTAACAAAGAAAGAGTTATTTTTCTCACATAAGAAACTAGGCGGGGCCTGGCACGGTGGCTCACACCTATAATTCTAGCACTCTGGGAGGCCAAGGCTGGTGGATCGTTTGAGCTCAGGAGTTCGAGACAGCCTGAAGAGCCAGATCCCGTCTCTACTAAAAAAAAAAATGGAAAGAAATTATCTGGACAACTTAAATATATAGAAAAAATTAGCTGGGCATGGTGGCGCATGCCTGTAGTCCCAGCTACTCGAGGAGGCTGAGCAGGAGGATTGCCTGAGCCCAGGAGTTAGTTGGAGGTTTCTATAACCTAGGCTGACGCCACGCGCTCTAGCCTGGGCAACAGAGTGAGACTCTGTCTCAAGAAAAAAAAAAAAGAAAAAGAAAAAAGAAACAGTTGGTAGGCAGACCTGCCTGATGATGCAGTAGCTCAACAACATAAATTAAATTTTATATAAAGTGTAATTGGTTTCTCAGCTACTATAGAAAGTTTTCTGTCAAATCACTAGTTTTCAGAGTTCATTGGTTTAGTTCCCAATTTCTGTTTGATGGTCATCAGTGCCAGCCACTGCCTCTCTCTTTTCCACAGTGTAGTTCATAGAAGAGTGGGATTTTTTTTTTAGGTCACACAGATGATTATTTCAGCCTTTCTCCAGTTATAGATTAAGCCAAGTAAAATGTAATAGCACTAAGGCACAAGAGCCTGTTCTGGAAGGGAAAACAAAGAGCCAAGGTTGTTATTTGACGTCAACATGAATGAAGTTAAGGTTTTTGTATAATTTTGGTAAAAACAATTTTCAAATTTATATTTGTGTGATATGTGCAAAAACCTTTTGCTTGGTTTTGTCTGTTTCATAGTACTGTAGTAATCATTCTCTAAAAAGCATGTATTATATTAGTAATATGGCATATAGCCTTGAAAATAATGCTAATTTTATACTTACTTCTAGCAAAGTGAAAAAAAAAGCATTCAGCTAATTTGCCTTGGACTTAAAAATTTTTTCTTCCCAAAGGGATTATTTTCACTTGAATTTTAATTTTTAAATTTTTTTTCTTTCTTTCTTTTTTTTTTTGTAATAAGCCTCAGTTCAAAGTCATATTTTTGACATTGAAAGAGCTAGAGATTACTTTTGGCTTCCCTTTTCTATTCTTTTCTATATGGATTTTATATTTGTTATTACTTTCATTTTTACAATGGCAAGTGGTGAAATATTTCCTGTATTTTGATGACAGAAAAAAGCCTACAGATTCAGTATGAAGCTCCTGAGAATTCCTGTTATAGTTGGCACCTACCTGATCAATAAATACTATTTTAACAAAAAATAATTCCTTATTGGGCATCAATTGTGCAATCCACTTGATTTATATGCCACCTCAGTGTCAGATGATATGTATAAATGACTTACAATGTTTTATAGTTCTAGAAACTCCTCAATGCCAACTAATAACACATAAGAACATACAGTTCATTTGGTGTGTCTAATTAATAATGTTTTTAAAAATTGATAATCTATTCAAAAATATAGATAGAAGTTGTATGAAGAATTTAGAGGTCTTACACCTCATTTTCACCAGCAAAGCACACACAACATGCACAAATGACAAAAGCTCAAAGAAAGATAGCTTGTTATATAAAACTGAAGAAGAGTGAACGTAACAAATCTTTTTAGAAAGAACACCTGCCGGGAAAATTGGTATGATTGAAATATCATTGAGTTTTGACAGAGTGCTTACTGTTTTTCTTTATTTTATTTTGTGTTTATGAACATATGTAATTTTCATGGCAGAATCTTTTTTTTTTTTTTTTTTTGAGACAGAGTCTCGCTTTGTTTGCTCAGGCTAGAGTGAGTGCCGTGCATCAGCCTAGCTCACAGCAACCTCAAACTCCTGGGCTTAAGCAGTCTACTGCCTCAGCCTCCAAGTAGCTGGGACTACAGGCAACGTGCCACCATGCCGGCTAATTTATATAATATATATATATAATATTAGTTGCCAATTAATTTCTTTCTATTTTTTATAGTAGAGACGGGGTCTCGCTCAGGCTGGTTTTTGAACTCCTGACCTTGAGCAATCCGCCCGCCTCGGCCTCCCAGAGTGCTAGGATTACAAGAGTGAGCCACCGCGCCAGGCCAATGGCAGAATCTTGACTGCATATCCTCAATTAGAGAGCTGATATCTGTATTTGACAGTTTTTATCCTATTTCTAATAATACATTATTATTTTTCAGCCTCTGGAATATTGCAAGTGGCATTTGCTGACTTGCTTTGCTTATGATAGTTATTCAGTAACTATTGAATTTCTTCTAATTATTTTATACATGTTGAAATTATTTCTCTCCCTGTTTTGGGTTGTGGAGCTGATCTTTCCATTTCATTCTATAGGTTTTTTTGTTTTTGTTTTTTTTTAATTTCAGAGAAGGGTATGTCTGTATGCCTTAAGAAATTCAAACAGTCATGGTGCAATACCCTCTGATTGTCTGCTAGTTCATCTCCCTGTGTTCTGGGAATAAATTGAACCCATAAAAGACAAAGTAATTTCTTTTCTTACTTGAAATAGAAGGGGGCCAACTAATTTGATGTATACTCTGAAGATAATATTAATTTGAATTGGAGCAGAAGACTATTTAAAGACCATTGACTATAGAATAGTGATTCTCCTGTGGCTTTAAAGTAGGCTTTGCTTCCTGGAAGAATCTTGGAAGGGCCACAGGAAAACTCCCGCCCTCCTTTGATTTCACAGTTTCAGGCCAAACCAGCCTGACTGTTAATCCCCAGGAAGACGGATATTAATGGGTTAACTTGGTGTATGGTTGTCAAGAGCTGCATTTTTCTTTCTCTCCCCTAACAGGTCCCCATTCTGAGCTCCATTCAAAGAAGTGTTTCCAACTGAGTTGTCCATGTTGCATAGGGTAAGAGGAAGTGTTTGATTATTTACATAATCTCAAGCCCCTAACTCCCATTGAAATATTCCTGGAAAAAAAAACTGATTTCAATGTGATCACTTAGTTATTTAAGCATTTGTTTTAAGATCTTTGACTATATCAGGAATGATTTTTTAAATATGAGAAATTAGTCTTTCATAAAGCTGCATATTATTTAAAATTTAAGTAATTACTACTTAGACATACAGAAAATAATACAAATTTGAGCCAAATTAAGAACATTGATTTACTTTATTTATTTTATTTTATTTTATTTTTTTGAGATAGAGTCTTGCTTTGTTGCCCAGGCTAGAGTGAGTGCTATGGCGTCAGGCTAGCTCACAGCAACCTCAAACTCCTAGGCTCAAGCAATCCTGCTGCCTCAGCCTCCCAAGTAGCTGGGATTATAGGCATGCACCACCATGCCTGGCTAATTTTTTCTGTATATATTAGTTGGTCAACTAATTTCTTTCTATTTATAGTAGAGACAGGGTCTTGCTCTTGCTCAGGCTGATTTCAAACTCCTGACCTTGAGCAATCCGCCCACCTCGGCCTCCCAATGCTAGGATTACAAGCATGAGCCACAGCACGCCAGAACATTGATTTACTTTAATACAAAGGATATTTTGTGTCATTATGAATTTGTTTCTAAACATACTACTTGTTTTTTTTTTTTTGAGACAGAGTCTTGCTTTGTTGCCCAGGCTAGAGTGAGTGCTGTGGCGTCAGCCTAGCTCATAGCAACCTCAAACTCCTGGGCTCAAGCGATCCTCCTGCCTCAGCCTCCCGAATAGCTGGGACTACAGGCATGCACCACCATGCCCGGCTAATTTTTTCTATATATATTAGTTGGTCAACTAATTTCTTTCTATTTATAGTAGAGACAGGGTCTTGCTCTTGCTCAGGCTGATTTCAAACTCCTGACCTTGAGCAATCCGCCCGCCTCGGCCTCCCAGAGTGCTAGGATTACAGGCATGAGCCAACGCGCCCGGCCCAAAACAGTTTTTCATGCTCTGTAAATCAACAAGAGAAGCAACAGTGAAGAGTTAATGATTGTGGATAAGAAGGAGAAGGTTTTGGTGAATTGCTCTTAGTGAAAAATGAAACAGCTTTTGAAACTGAGTTCAAATATGTCCTTGAGCACATGAGAGTCTGGACTGTTAAGGCATGGTAGAATGATTATTTGAAATAGTAGCACTACAACAAGTAAGTAGTATATTATTCACATTTTAGCATAAGAATTCATGATACACAGCACCTGACAGAGTCACCTAGGAATTGAACAGGGCTTATACTGCATGTGAGCAGAAGGTGCTTTGCTCTATTTCTGACATGGACTCTATATCAGCAAACAGGCTTCATTCTTGCACAGGTCATTAAGTATATTCTTATCATGTTCCAGGACTGCACAGGAAAGAATCTACTAAGAGTTGATTTTAAGGCTCTTTATTTTGAACTGATAATAATTTTCCAGGACTCTACTCCAGTGCTGGTAAGGATTATTGCACAGTTTTTTCTCTTGTTTTGCAATGCTAAGTTTATAGCTAGCTGCATCACTTTAAAAAGGAGAATGCCAATATATTACTACTTAACTTCTTCAGATTAGCTGTTAGAGAGATAAGGGTGATGAATGGTGCTTGGTCAAATGGTGAAATTGACCTAGTTTGAAGCTTCCAGATAGAACCAGCAGGTTTATCAGCTACTCCCTAAAACAAATATTTGGGAGTATATAACAAAGGAGTGTAACTGATTCTGTCCAAACCTTTGAACAAGAATTCCATTTTAACTTGCAATAAATATTGAAAGAAGATGGGTTCTTCTTTTGAAAACTCCCTTTTAAAGAAAGTAGAGCATATTTCCATTTTGAAAGGAAAAGATGACTTTGTAACATTCCCAAGTTATACGGGCACATACTGGTAGACTTTTGGAAGTATTTAAAATATCTACAAATTGAGGTTTGCTAACAATAGGTCTCAATATGACTCTGATTCTAAACCTTGGAGTAAATTATGCATTTATATTGAAAATCATTTGTCTTTTTCCTTAAAGTATGTGTGGCTTTTTAAAATATACATAATGTGTGTAAAATTTAACAACTTTAAATTACCATGATTTAACTTAGCAGATTTTAAAAAGAAAATACTGCTGAAATCATATGACTGGTAAGATCCTAAATCCTTTGCTTAAGCTCAGGAGAGCGAGACCCCATCTCTACTATAAATAGAAAGAAATTAGCCAAAACAACTAAAAATAGAAAATAAAATTAGCCGGGCATGGTGGCACATGCCTGTAGTCCCAGCTATCTGGGAAGTTGAGGCAGGAGGATCACTTAAGGCCAGGAGTTTGAGGTTGCTGTGAGCTAGGCTGACGCCACGGCACTCTAGCCCAGGCAAGAGAGTGAGACTCTGTCTCAAAAAAAAAAAAAAAAAAATACAAAAGATAACCTTTCAGGAAAAGGTGAAGGGAGAAAAGGCAAAAACATTCCATTTTAGTTTTGAAATTACACTATTCAAATATTTTCTATTTCATTCTTAATACCCACTAACCTTCTTTATACAAAACCTGAGCTTAAGCAATCTTCCTGCCTTGGCCTCCCAGAGTGCTAGGATTGCAGGCGTGAGCCACCGTGCCTGGCCTTGTATTGTATTTTATACAAACTATCCAAAGTAGAGCAGGGGAAAGAAGAGAGTTCATTGTGGAGAGGGGTGGCAGGGCAATTTGTTATTATCATAATTGGTTTCAGTTTAATGGAGTAGGACATCATAAGAAAACCAAGCAGCATAAGGAATCCAAACTTGGAATAAATCTTACAATAGAGATATCTCCCAATGAGTTTTTCATCTAGACAAGGCAAAATTAAACATAATATTTAAAATTTTATAATTAAAAAAATTTCTTTGGGAAGATAGCATTATCTCTTTTAAAAAGAGTTGCTAGTCATGTACAGGATAGAACAGCAAAGCCACTGGATTTGGTTAAGTCTAAAAATAAACTTTGGGGGATGTTATTTCAACAAAGAAGGAAAAAAGTGATTGAAGAAAAGTATTTTTTTTTCATTTTGCTTCAGTAGCAGACATTTGCCATTGAACTCCAAATGAAAAAAGAATAATCAGGTTTACTTTAGCAGTTAATGTGGGGTATAATGCAATAGCAGAGAAACTAGTTGTAACTGGGTTTATGGTAGGTCTTCAGTTCACAAAGAACACAAGCCTGAACAAGCCAACATGAGTCACTTCATGAGGTTGTATTATAATACTATTACCTAAAGATTTCTAGTTGAACAGCCTCTGCGGACCCTAAAATGTCCCTATAAACAATCCAATACAGCATGTCACACATTTCCTGAAAGTTTTATATCTAATCATAAGTAATGCATACTCTAATTTTCTCAGGGTACCAACCTGTATATTTAGTTGCAACATGTCAGAATAATGTCAAAAATTCATTTTGTAGCAAAGAGAAAGCAATAAAATAAATCCTCAAAGGGGCAATATAAATTTTTCAGAGTGAAAAAATAACTATGTTGCTAAATAAAAAACATTTTCTGTTGAGGTTGTTAAAACATTGATACTGATAGGAAAAAGAAATGAAGAAGGGAATAGCATGTTTATCTGGGAGCAATTTTGTAGCTCACAGTGAATGTATCTCTGATTTATTCTACGTCACTGGGCAAATCTCATGCTAATCTCTTTCTGTCTCTATTTCCTCAACTATAAAGAAGGGATAATAATACCAGCCCGTTTCAGAGGGGTGTGGTAAGGATTAATTAAGGCCCATAAAGGGTTTCAAAGGCCAAACATGAAAGACGCCACACTAAGTACAAAGCCTCATCATTAGCACTGAAGTTGATGGAATATAAAAACTTGTTTATTGATGGAAAAATTCCAAAACATCAAATAAGAATACACTTTCTTGAATTTATGTGACTTAAATTTACGAATTGGTCCGCAAATGTGTTTTATTTAGGTGCTCTATATTTAATTTTAATTGTTCAACCTAGGCTAATAAAATCAAAGAGAACACTGACTTGAAAATCAAAATTATAAACAGTTAGAATTAAAAATATACATTTTATTTACTTTTTGTTTCACCTCTGTAACGTATCAATAATCTAATAGGGCATTTGTGTCAAAAGAATGATTAAATCTAGAAGAGCTCCTTGGGGGTACATGAAAGAATGAAATATTTAATTTGTTGCAACCATTTAGCATCAAGGTACCAATCATCCAGTTTAGAATAAAGGTATTATTAAATTCTATCTGAGTTAGGGCACTGAATCAAGGGAAATACGTTTCTCTAAAGTGCCTCAATGTAGGAGCCAACAGAAGGAGTGTATGAAAACATCAATTTCATTTTCAGAAATATGACTCCTATTACATACCCCACAAAGCATACTGAGTTTCTTGTATGCCAGCTGACTAATATGAAAACAAAAAAACATGATGAATCAGTCACCTCTATGTTTTGTAATAAAAAAAGATAGTAGTTGTCTACATTTGGCTGAAACTAAATAATAGCATTTTGATTTCCTTACACAAACAGCTAGTGCTGAGTAAATGAACAGTTTTACCCTTTGAAATATCATTAAATTTATCATTAGTTTGTAAATGAGTACAACTAGAGCCAATAAGACTCTTAAGATATTATTTCCTAATTAAGTGATTGCTCAGTTGGACAAAATCTTGGATGACATAAATCAGCAATGAAATTGTCATACCCCAGAGTTCTACTTTTCTTAGTTTTTGAAAAATGTACTAGTTTTTAGTGACAGTCTACAGTCTTTGCTTATGTCAGTTCATGGGAATAATTCATGACTGATGTTTATTTTGCCTTGGGTTGGGCTGTAAAACTACTCTACAATAACATAACTTGAGAGGTTGTTATTTTAGAATTATTGTATCTTATACTGGTTGTGGTCAAGAAAAAGACAGACTGGAAAACAGGAAGTAGTAATACATCTTTAAAACATTTACTATTGCCATTATAAAAAAAGATTAAGTTTCACTCTAGTTAGAATTTCATTAATAGTTTACTTCATCTATCTTTTATTAAAAACTCATTTATGCTTTATCCCAAATTTTGAATGCAAACATTAACTGTCAAGATTGATAGCCATGCAATCAACCAACTTAATTTTGGTTGGAAGATGAATGATTCACTGCTTTCTCGTGTCTGATGAGTAGGAAGAACATTGTATTTAAAATGGCTCTGTCCCAGAGGGTGAATCTTATGAGTTTCACCGCCCTGCCCACTCAGAAAAATAAGTCAGAGAGGTTACAGCAGAATACAGACTGAGCATGAAATTGTAAGGACATCTTATAACCTGTTTTCTTGCCAGTGTTATAAACATGGTTATCATTTTTCACATTGCTAAATTTAAAATTTTAAAGACTTAAGATTAGGAGATATTTTCCAAGTTATCTTTTTGTTTATTCTTTTTGCATCTAACACTTAAAAGGGCTCCATGAATAAGTAAACATAGTTTTGCTTTGCTCAGCATCTAATTCTTTTGCAATCACAACTCTGTATCCTGTGTAACAAAAACATTTCTCCTCTCTCTGGTGTCTGTTTTATATATTATCTCTTTTAGTTGACAGAAATAAGCTGTTTTCATCCCCAGTTACTGAATCTGTAACTACCTTGCGGGTTCCTCTGCCCCAAGATTGTCTAAAAATATTTCCTACTTATTTCTGCTAAATATTACATAAGGGTAAAAGTAAGACTTTTTTCTTTAAGGTATACAAGTGTTATATTTTATTATATCAGATAATATATAAATAAGGTTTATTAGTATATCACCTAGAATTTTTTTAAAGAAAAAGTAAAACATTCCATTTAATATAATTCAACAAAGATGTATTCAGAATGCTTTACCCAGAGAGGAGGAGGGATAAATAGAAGCTCTCTGTCTTTAAGGAACTGATAATTTTCTAGGGTAGCTGATGTAGATAACTCAGATTTTCTCAAATTTCATTAACCTTTAGATACAGAACAGATCACCTTAAATATAAAAACACATATTCCATTGCCCTTTCCCATCCTTGTTCATGAATTGTTTCCTGCCCCTCCTTGTTTCCCACCTGTTTCTGACATGGTACAGGAGATGTTTTGATCAGTTTGATAAAATGACCAGATAAAATGCAATGGATTGTGCAGTCCTTGCAATGCTATGGTGCAAATCATTCAAAGTCACATTCTAAGCAGAATATCATCTTAGTAGCTGGAATCATTTCTTGGGATATTTAAATTAAATAATTTGATTTCATTAATGGGCTTTCTGATATTATAAGAGATTACGTGAATAGCAATGCATTTATATCTAGTCAAATGGTCACGTTCTTGATTTTTCATGACCCTGAGGGATGCAAGCATAATTATAGTTGCTCCTTATTTTTTATTTATTTATTTTTTTTAAGACAGAGTCTCGCTTTTTTGCCCAGGCTAGAGTGAGTGCTGTGGCGCCAGCTTCGCTCACAGCAACCTCAAACTCCTGGGCTCAAGTGATCCTCCTGCCTCAGCCTCCTGAGTAGCTGGGACTACAGGCATGCGCCACCATGCCCGGCTAATTTTTTTCTATATATATTAGTTGGCCAATTAATTTTCTTTCTATTTATAGTAGAGACAGGGTCTCGCTCTTGCTCAGGCTGGTTTCGAACTCCGGACCTCTAGCAATCTGCCCGCCTCAGCCTCCCAGAGTGCTAGGATTACAGGCGTGAGCCACCACGACCGGCCTACTTACACTTTTAATAAGGAGCAAAACTATGACTTGTTTTCCTTCCTATGTGATATTTCATAATGTTTATTTAAATGAACAAAATGAAGGTGGTCAGGGAAAGAAAGATTCAAAGAATAAAATGTATATGATATAGAATATTCAAAATATGTAAAATATCAGCATTTAGTTGCTTAAGAATTGATTCTAGGCTAAGGAATTTATTAAATCTTGACATAAGAAATTAAGGTATTAAGCTAATAAGCATTTATTTAGCCATATTCAAGATATTCTGCTAAGCACTGAGAATTCAAAAATGAAAACCTATCATTCCTACTCTTATGGAATTCAGTCTAGTGGAAGAGACAAACACATGAACAAATACATTGCATAGACAGAAATAAATTCTGTGGTAGACTCTAGGAAGGCCAGAGATCACCTGACACAGTAGGTAAACTTTGAATAGTCTTGAAGACAGAATGGGAATTTGCTATATACAGAAGAATAAGAGCATTTGAGGGAAGGAGAACAAAATGTGCAAAGGCATAGAGTTTTGAAAAGATATGTGAGAAGTTCACTGTGGTTTGGAGCTGAGAGTGTGGTAGGGAGTGGAAGGAAATGAAATTGGAACAGTATATAGGGGTTACATCATGAAGGGCACTGTACCCATACAGAAGAGTTTGACTTTTATAGGGCAGCTAGGGGGAAATCAGAAGTTATTAGACAAAGAGAAGGGTGTAATCATTTGTTTGGTAAGAAGATAATTATGACAGGAATGCAAAAAGATGGATTACAGGAGAAGTTGATGAAGGAGAGACCAGACAGGACAATGTTGCAGTAGTCTGAGGCAGAAAGCATAAGAACATGAATTGAATTAGTGGCAGAAAGAATGGTCAGATTCTGGATATATTTCTGATATAAAATTGACAGGATTTGGGTATAAGAAGAGAAGGGGCTCCAAAATGAATTTCTTACTTGGTAGACTTGAGGACATTGATTCCGTTAACTTTGATGGGAAATGTGGGAATATTAGGAATATAAAGATCATTTCAGTCTTTTTTTTTTTTTTTAAATGCGTTAGGTTGAAGTGGGATAGCCAAGTTGACAAGCATTTGAAAAGTTGGTCCGGAATTTGAAGATAGTTTAGAACTTGGAATATAAATAAATTTGAGAATCATGAGCATATAAATAGGATCTAGAATGTGGGTGGATGAAATGATATATCTAAAAATGTGGGAGGAACAGCCCACCAAGGATGAAACCCTAGAAGACAACAGCACTTAAGATGGTATCCCTCATTCACTTTCTTTTTTTTTGAGACAGAGTCTCACTCTGTTGCCCAGGCTAGAGTGCCGTGGTGTCAGTCTAGCTCACAGCCTCATTCACTTTCAACCTATGCCTCATTTTGAAAACATAAAAATCTCAGCCTACATCTAATCATGTCAGTTTAGGTATTTCCCCTTACAGACCCATGACTACTCCTTCTTCCTACATTCTCCTCCCCTCTATTTCTTTTAAGAATTTCTAATTTAAGAAGTGGTCTGAAAAGAAGGAACTATTGAAGAAAACTGAGGAGTACTCAGAGAAGTAAAAGGAAAATCAGGAGAGGATTGGAGACAAGGTCATGTTAGCATCACATCCTTACTGCAAATCCTGACCAAATCCTACAAATTGAATTGGAACACTGCCAGCCCTCATGGAACTGGGTAGAATGCATGACTTGGATGTCTGTATCTAGCAGAACATAGATGCTTGAGTCCTTTACCGCCCTTAAGTTCTCCAGCACGCTTGGAAGTGAGTATGTAGCTTTTGTTCCTCCTTGGGCTCAGGGAGACCCCCAACCTTACCTTTAATTGCCCTTGTCTTTTAAGCAGCTGAAGTCAGGGTAGAAAGGATGATGGGAGGAATCTGGGGGTGTGTAGGGAGAGAGTGGCTCTGTGCCAGTGAGCAAAGCACATTGGTTTTCCACTTTGAATGACCGAGCAGCTACTCATGGCTCAACTAAAATGAAGTTCCAATGTTTTTGGATCATGCAAGTGCTCTGTGAGCTTTGGGGACTCCTTGACCCTTCTTTGTCTTTCCTCTCAGAAGAGAGTGAGCAACAACCAAAACACCATTTAGGTGATTCATTTCAATCTTATCTCTTGCTCCTCAGACTCTAAATATTCATAAACAGATAGGACAGTGGGAGACTCTTACTCTTCTCATCTCCCCTACCTATATTTACTACTGGGCCCTGGGAAATCTTTTTAAAAACCTAATTGAGTCCTTAGGATCCCTTATCCTTTCTCTTCCAGAAAGCTATGTCTGTCAGCATCCTTTTCTTTTTGCTAAAAGCTATCAAGTTAGCTTGCTACAGTTTTGTGGATGCTGGCAAAAGACGTGAGATTCCTGGGTCAGAGAAAAAGGACTTAATTACTTGTAGCACAACAGGCAGCACAAGCTTCCTGTTCATGCCATTTATGCCCCCATAAGTCTCATGGATGTGATTTGCAGAAACCCAGATCAACATGGCACACACAGTAGGTTTGTATCACTGCTGAGGGACTCTGAGCATAGGAAACCTCATAGGAAACCTCAATTACAAAGGGGCTGCAAGGAAACTTGCCCAGGGTTTGCCAAGGAGAGAAACATTATCTTAATTATACGGGGAAGCAAACAAACTTGCCCTCTTCTCTGAAGAGAGATACTGTCTTCTTCCAAGATTGTTCTCTATACAAACATGCTTGGAAAAATAATCCAGAACAAAAAAAAGAGTTCCTCCTCTTGCAAAGATGTGCAGAAATGCGAGAGACTCACAGAGAATTTCTCTCAGCAAGTAGGTTCTGGGCATTCTTTTCTTTCTCCTTCTCTTGACCCCACTTCCTCTTTGTTTCCTTTCAACCCTTTGCTTTTTTTCTCGATTCCTTTATTCTACTCGGGATTTAATTTTTTAAATACCCCAGATTTTACAAAGCGTGACAGTAGAATAAAAAACTGGAGTTTCGGCTGGTCCGATGGTAGTGGGTTATCAGAACTTATTCACATTAGTGTCACTAAAGTTGGTATTCAACCCCCCACTGCTAAATTTGACTGGCTTTTAAAAAATAAAAAAATAAAAAAAAAAACAACAAAAAAAAAACTGGAGTTTCTTTTCATACAAACTTATTTATTTGGATTTTTTAATATTTCAAATTATTGATACATTCAAAGAGTAATTTTAATCTCTATAATTTTTGCTAACCGTGTCGAGTCACACTCGACATCCAAGCGCAAAGGGTTAAGATATAATTTAATCCATTCAAATTATTTTTAATAATAGGTATCCTCTAATGACAAAATGTGTAGAAATAAATATCTACCTTAAAGCCTATGAAAATAAAAGGCCCAAACTGCTATAGCAATGATGAATTACAAGGGAATATTTAGGAAAAAGAAAACCCATGCTATTTTTTGAAGAATATATTTTACCAACTGAAATGAAAATTCAAAATCAGGAATGGTCTTTTTGACAAAATTTCACTCACTAGTTATGAGGCAAGCTCAATTATAATTATGCAATGAATAAAGGAAATTACTAAAATGACAACCAAAATTCTTTTATCTAGTTTTACCTAGTTAGAAAATTCATAGGCAAAAAGCAAAACAAAATTAAAAAAATTGAAATTACTGCATTCAGCATATATGCTGTGATCATTAAATAATAGAAAACACCAATTTCTATAACATAATATCAATGATGTGGTTTCATTTGATGGGCTAACAAATATACATATGCAGTTTGGTTAACTACGTGGCCTTTTTACTATAAATATTAGAACAGTGAGGTCAAACTGTACAAGTTGCCACACATCTGGATGACTGTGATATGCTCTATGGGTAGCATTATTGTGTTTACTAAGTTCTATATTTTCAGGTAAATGAGGATTGCACTTACCCGCCTCCTTGAAATTAGGCTAGCTTTAGCCCGTGAAATGTGTGCACAAGTAATACATGTCACTTTCGGGAAGTAGTATTTATTGCTGGTATTTAAGTATGCAGCCCATTCTTCCCCTGCCAGGGTACTTGTGGGAGCGTGTGCTGATAAGGAGGTGCCATAATACCGAAGCAGCCTACAAAGTGGGCGAACACACAGAGGAACGTGGGCCTTAGGGGACTTCATGTGAGCATGAATTAAATTTTAGCTAAGCTCCTGATATTTGGAATTTTGCCTCTTTTTTTTTTAACTAGAGCTCCACTTAGCCCATCCAACTAAGATAATAGTGCCACTGCATCTTTTAAATTCTGAATTTTGAGGCATATTGAATACCAAATCAGTCTTGCAGATTTAGCACTCTAAAAAAAAAAAAAATACAGCTGTCCTTTGTCATGCTTTAATGCCGATGAATCTCCCTGTGAGACCTGGACTTCCTAGGGGTATGGATAGTAGTTCTATTAATATATGTGTTTGCTCCTAAGTCCTGAATGAACTAGTTCACCTTGGCTATAAGCTCTGAATGTTTGTGAGAAAGAAGTCTCTTAGTATAAATTAGCTTGGAGAAATTTCTTGTCCTCAAAGCTGATGGTACATCTATATACCAGGCAGTCATGGTGACTTGAAAGCTATCCTTGAAAGTTATTGATATATAGTAACTTATAGATCACTTGTAAGATTTATTTAGTTTCTGCCCTGAAAAGTTTCTAGAGGCTTCATTTTTAGGGTGTAATGTGTCTTTTGTTAGTTTTTTTCTTTCTTTTTTTCTTTTAACACATTCATCTCTGATGGAGATATAATTTTAAGGAAACTATTTTACTTAAATAAACTTATGTTTTATGTTTTAAATAAACTTATGTTTTAACTGCTGATCCTTTTGTATCCCAAGCATTTAAAATGAAATGTTTATAAATGAAAGTGATAATAATAATGATTTATTAATTATGTCAACGAATAATTTTTGAGTCCCTATTTTCTGTGGAGAACTGTGCTAAGCACTGGGAAGACAATAGAGAATGAAAACAGATACTGTCCCAATTTTCAGAGAGTCAGACACAAATAAAATAATCATAACAATGAATATATAGTTATAAACTGAGATTGCAGTCTAAAAGAAAGAAACACTATTTCTATAAGAACATATAATAAAGGAAACCAATCTGGGTTGGAGGTCAGAAAGGTTTTCCTGGTTTTCAAAGTATGAATGGGAGCCAATGAGGCAAACAGGAGATTGGAGGAAAGGGACAGAAACAGTTCTCTAGAACAGCATGACAAAGACCCTCTGGCATGAGGGAGTGTGACATGTGGCAGGAATGTAGGGTTAGGAAAAAGTTAGCCAGACCATGTAGAATTTTATGGTTCTTTTTTAAAAGGTTAGTTTTTATCTTAAGAGCATTGAGAAGTCATTGAAAGATTTTTAGTATGAAGGTTAATGTGACCAAATTAGGTTTTTGAAAAGAACATTTTGGTGACAGCATGAAGAATGGATTGGAAGGGAACTACATTAGATGTAAAGTAGATCAATGAAGAAGACATTGCATCAGGTCAGAGAAGAAATGAAAGTGACTAAGACTAGGATAGTAGCAATGGTGGTGGAGTAAAGTATACACATAGAAATAATCTTTGGATTCAATTTCTAAGATTTCATGACAGAATGTGTATGCTGAGTGAGGGACAGGAAGATTTTAAGGAAGACTCCTTACATAACTGGGTGGATGATGGTGATTTTCCTTGAGGTTATAGTGGAAGATAATCTGGTTTAAAGGGGGTAAAATGTAGGAAAGATTGGGTAGTTAGTCTGAACTTGTAAGTTTGAAATGCCTATGTGATATCCAAGGAGAATGTAGACATTTGAGTTTATGTAACCTGGAGCTCAGATGAGAGGTCTGAGGCTTGAGGTAGAATTTTTAAAAATACATTTGTAGATAATTTGTTATGCTTAAGTTCAACTGTGGGTGTCAGAAAATCCAAAATAACAAGAGTTTAAGAAAGAATACTTTTCTCATGTAAAAGTCTAGAACAGTGCTGTCCAATAGAAATACAATGTGAGTCACATATATAATTTTAAATTTTCTATTAGCTGCACCAAAAAAGGAATAAGAAAGTTAAAATTAATTGTATGATGTATTTTACTTCACCCAATATAACCAAAATGTTATAATTTCAACATGTTGTTAATATAAAATTAATGAGAAATTTTACATTATTTTTTCATACTAAGTCTTCAAAATCTGATATGTATGTTATACAGCACAGCTCAGTTTGGGCTAGCCATATTTCAAATGCTCAAAAGTTACATGTGGCTAAGGGCTACTGTACCAAACAGCACACATCTAAAGTTAGGAGGGCCAGGGCTGATGTAGATAGCACCTCGCAGCATCAGAGACCTAGGCTGCTTCTGTGTGGCCTCCACTTACAAGGTCACTTCTTAGTCTAGAAGGCTGATCCAGGTCCATTCATCACATCTGTGTTTCAGTTTGCGCGGAGGAAGACAAAGAAAGAGAAAGGTATGTCTTTTCCCTGTAAGGCTACTTCCTAGAAATGTATATGTCACTTGCATCTGTATTTTCTCAGTCAAAATTTAGTCACATGACCTGAAGACCATGTACTTAATTGCAAGAGAGGTTGGGAAATGTAGGTTTTATTTCAGGTGGCCACGTGGCTAGATAAAAATCAAGAGTTCTATTGCTACAGAATGTATTGGAGTACAGTCATCAGTCTTTTCACCAGTGTCTTCTCTTTACATCCCCTGAGACGTGTATGCACTCTTCTTCCTAAATAAATAATACATTTGCTGCTATCTTTTTAAGAGAGACAATTCCAAAATCTCAGTCAGATTAAAGTCTCAAAATCTAGCATCTGAATTATGTACAGTCTTTTCTACTGGGTTGATATTTGGTTCTTCTTGGTTCAGTGGCCCATAAATTAAATAATAAGTATTTGCATCCCTTTCCCCATACTGTGGTGATATAGGATAGGGTAACTAAAATAGAAACACCCATTTTGGGAGAATGGTTCACACCCAATCCTAATGTACAGAAATAAGGAAGACTGTCTTCTCTGGGAGGAGAGTAAGCTTCTGAGTTAGCCATCCTCCATCCTTCCCTGCCCCTGCGTCTGCCCCCCTCTCATTGGAAGCCCTGATTTGCTGCCCTTGGGGGAAATCCCTTGCCCATAATCCTCTGTAGACCTAGTCAGTGCCCTGTGGAGGTTCTTCCTTGTTCATAATCTTCTGTGGTCACAACTGAGATAAGCATTGGAAAGTATACTGCATCAAATTCTCTACTTTATGCTGGCTCAGGTTTAGATGTCTGGTGTGTTTTAGGAGTTGAATAATCACAGTCTTTTGCAGGCTAACTTTCTGGGAATTCTTTGCCAGTAAATTTTTGTCAAAAATGTAGTAGACTTCCAGTCTATTTGCTAGTGTTTAGTTTCATAGACAAGTAACCCACAGCCAAAATGCTCGTCTAGACATAATTTTTTACGTGAAGACTCTGTTTTTTATTGGTAGCCTTGGAGTTCTGCTCATGCCTATCTATTTCTTGACTTAATGGCAGCTCTGATATCAACTGAAACAAAGAGCTATTTGGAAAATGCAAAATCTTAAATCCATCTCTTTAAGCAGCTTTAATAAGGTAGGACATATGTAAGATTGAAGTTTCTAAGACATTGCTTAAAACTACTTCTCTTGGGAGAAGGCTTAGCTTTTATTTAATATATATTGGGAGGCTTTAGCCAGGCGCGGTGGCTCACGCCTATAATCCTAGCACTCTGGGAGGCCGAGGTGGGCGAATCACTTGAGCTCAGGAGTTCGAAACCAGCCTGAGCAAGAGCGAGACCCCGTCTCTACTAAAAAGTAGAAACTAATTGGCCAGCTAAAAAAAATAAAAATAAAAAAATAAAAAATAAATCCCAAGTCCTTAATATATATTGGGAGGCTCTAATTTATCAGATGTTCAGTTTTCGATTGTAGGCTGTAGGCAAGGCAGGCCTCTCTCAGCAGATCTGAAGTCCTTTCCGCTTTTGCTTGCCCTAGTTCAAGCTTGTAAGAATTTGATGCAGCCAAGAAGTACCAGTGTTCTGATTTTTTCTAACCAATTCCCAAGTACTACATTTTTCTTTTTTTGAAACAAGGTCTCAATATGTTGTCCAGTCTGGACTTGAACTCCTAGGCTCATGCAGTTCTCCTTCCTCAGCCTGCGGAGTTGCTAGGACTACAGATACAAGACCACATCTGGCCCAAGTACTACATTCTTAATTAGCAAGTGATCTGCCTCCCAAGTTATCATAGGTAACAGTTTTATTGAATGTTTTGCTAAGACATAGGAAGGGTTGCTACCTTTCCAGGCCTTAGGAAAACGTTCCTGCTACTTTTGTTAAGCCAGTGCCACATATTTCAGGTGTCGGTATTTGAAACAGCCCACTTTTTACATAGAGTTTATTAAATTAGTTAGCATTAGATTTGACTCTGAGTGGCAGAAAACTCCAAATAATAGTGGCCTAAAAATAGTTTTTTTCTCTCTTGTAAATGTCTTGAAGTAGTTAGTTAGTACAAGGCTGGTTTAGCAATCCGTGTCAGGGATCCAGCAACCTTTTACCTTGTTCCATAGTGCGTGAACCTCCATTCCCATGGTTACCTCATAGCCCAGGCTGGCTGCTGGCAAAGAGTGAAACATGATTTAAAGATGGAGAGTAATTTATGTTATACTCTTAAGCATACTGCGCCTATTTAAAAATGGAAACAGAGATGCATGAGAACTTGACTACTGCAAAAGAAAAAAGAAAAAAAGTAAAAGAAAATAAAAATATTTTTTGAAAAAAATAAAAAATAATAAAATAAAAACAGAAATATTTATTGATTGTTAATTGATCTGAAAATTCATTACCAATAATTTTAACCTCAAGGTTTTGATACTACAGAATATCTCCACTGTTGTCAAGGACAACCTTGAAATTCTCAAAATAAAACTAACTTCTGTGTATATGGAAGGAGTAGGATTACATAAGCAAAGGAACCATAATAATGATTACAAAACTGTTTTTTGGTAACCTACTGTTTTTCTAGTAGGCATATTTTAAATCTCCCAAATATATATGTTTTTGTTCATGTAATACCATTATTTTATTATTGAAAACAATTTGATATCTGAATCATTTATGACTTGAGATCAAGACCAAATGACCTGAAATCTCTACCACTCTAGACAGGTGTATGTTTATGTGAGTCTCAAGAGCAGTTATATTGTGGTATTAGAAAGCTTCTATTGCAAAATTGATTTTCACTCTAGTTCAGTAACTTTCAGTAAAGGTGGAATATGAAAATAATGGTTTTAAAAGTGATAGAGGCATTCAATGGTCGGATGTCATGAAAAAAAGTGATACAGGCAACTCTGGTTGCTAGTCTTCATTTTTATATGTGATAAAATTTAAAAAAAGAAAATGAACTTAAAATACCAGTAAAACAAAGCAATCATTATCAATCAAAACATTACAGTCCCTGAAAAAAAGGTGGTCTCAAAGATTACCTTATAGTTATCAAATAATAAATTGAATTAATGGAAAATGAATAGGAAATTATTTGAAGTTGGCACATGTAATTATTTCCTCACCATTTTTCCAACTAATGTATAGCCAGAATGCTTTTACAGAGGCTAAAAAAAATTGCACAGAATTTTGCTCAAGAATCAGTCATGACATAATCAATACATTTGTTTTTATACTCCTTTTAATTAAAAGTTTATTGTTTCACTTTCAACTTTTTATGATTAATTTAATTATCTTAATTTGAATATAATGTTGAATGCATTACAGTCATGCAATACATAATGACATTTTGGTTAATGACATACTGCATATATCGTGGTGGTCCCCATAAGATTATAATGGAGTTGAAAAGTCCCTATTGCCTAGTGACATTGTGGCATAAAGCTATGTGGTTTGTGGTGATGCTGGTGTAAGCAAACTTACCGTGCTGCCAGTCATATGAAAGTATAGCACATACAATTATGTACAGTACATAATTCTTGATAATGATAATAAACGACTACATTACTGGGTTATGTATTTATTATGCTATACTTTTTCATCGTTATTTTAGAGTGCACTCCTACTTACTAAAAAAAAAAAAAAGTTAATTGCAGAATAGCCTCAGGCAGGTCCTTAAGGAGGTATTCCAGAACAAGGTATTTTTATCGCAGGAGATAAGATCTCCATGCGTGTTATTGCCCCTGCAGACCTTCCAGTGGGAAAAGATGTGGGGGCGGAAGACAGTGATATTAATAATCCTGACCTTGTTTAGGCCTAGGCTAATATGTGTGTTTGTGTCCTAGTTTTTAACAAAATGTTTAAAAAGTAAAAAAAAAAAACACCAAAAAATTTTAAAAATAGAAAAAAGCTTATAGAATAAGTTATAAGGAAAGGAAATATTTTTGCGGAGCTGTAACAAAACCTTTGTGTTTTAAGCTAAGTGTTATTACAAAAGAGTCAAAAAGTTACAAAAGTTTATAAAATAAAAAGGTTACAGTAAGCTAAGGTTAATTTGTTATTGAAGAAATAAAAAATGTTTTTAAACTTAGTATAGCCTAAGTGTACAGTGTTTATAAAGTCTATAGTAGTGTACAATAATGTCTTAGGCTTTCACCTTCACTCACCACTTACTGACTCACCCAAAGCAATTTCCAGTCCTGCAAGCTCCATTCATGGTAAGTGCTGTAGATAGGTGTATCATTTTTCTCTTTTATACTTTATTTTTACTGTACCTTTTCTATGTGTAAATATGTTTAGATACACAAATAGTTACCTTTGTATTACAGTAGCCTACATATTCAATATAGTAACATGCTATGCAAGTTTGTAGCCAAGTTTATACCCTATAGGCTATACCCTATAGCCTAGGCGTGCAGTAGGCTATGCCATCTACATTTGCATAAGTACACTCTATGATGTTCACACAAGGACAGAATTACCAAAAATACATATCTCAGAACGTATCCCTGTTGTGAAATGACACAGGACTGTATTTTAAATACTTTATTTTTAATAATTGACTCTTTGGACAATTTTTATCACAATGATAAGGTATGGTTAAAATTATAGTTTTTATTTCTACTTGATATTTAGTAATACATTTATAAACTTTTGTATATTAAATGTATTAAATATTTAGTTTCACTGATTTTTTAAATTTCAAAATAAAATACCACACTTATACTGGTATACTAGTATTCCATGAAATAAACAGTGACTTACCAGTAGTATTTTTACTTTGCTTCAGAATTGAAATCATTAAACTATAATAGTGAAAGCATAGATTTAGTTGGGCCTCACAATGTTACAAAAACATAAAGGTATTTTAAAGGAACCAAATCTATTCAGAACATATATTTAGTTTTTTCCATCTCTGAGAGCTATATGGGATGTCCTTAGGAGCTGTCTCATTGTTCATAGAATGCAAGCTGTGGTCTAGTGGAATCTTAAAAAATTTCAGGATCAGATGTGTCACTGAAGGCATCTAGACCTACAAATGCTCATAGAAAAGCAGAGGATAACCGATCTTCTGACTTCAATAATCAACCTCTACCTCTTGAACTTTTAGAGTATAAGTTTACAACTGTGATTTTTTACCCCAAATCCTTTATTGAAGCCATTCAAATCTGATCTTAATTGTAGGGCAGGACAGGCTTCAAGGGCTTATGACCTGTGGAGTCACTTAGGATTTATGCTTAGAAGGGTCCTTTGCTTGGTGTCAGCAAAGGACCCCCCCTGTTTTTGCTAGCTTGAAATTCTTAGTAATTTTTCAACAAGGAGCCCTACATTTTTATTTTGTACTGAGCCATGCAAATTAGGTAGCTAGTTCTGTTACAACAGTTTGCTTTTACTTTCAAAGGAAGAATGATACGGGTATTCTCTAATGCATGTCTAATGTATGACTAATTTTTTAAAATCTGAAATTGGTATTTATTCTATTTGAGTGTATATAGGCACTGTAAGGAAAAACTCAGACTATGTTTTCCTCTGCTCTCACACAACAACAACACAACAACCAACACAGGAGACTTCTGTGACCCCAAAATATGTGGGGATTTCTCTCCACCATCAAGCAAGCGGCAGACACCAACTGGGTGTCTTCCGAAGTCATCTGTTTTTTGGTGGACGAGTTCTCCTTTGTTCACAGGGCTAGAGGGTGCTGTGGGCATCAGCCTAGGCTTCACCGCAACATCAACTCTGGGCCTACGGCCTCAGGCTCCCGAGTTAGCTGGGACTGGGCAGGCATAAGCCACATCCGCTAAATTTTTTTTTTGTGAGGGACAGGTCTCGCTTTGTGCCTGAGGCTGGAGGGGTTGCGTGGGCATTCAGGCTTAGCTCACCAGCAACCTCAATCCTCCTGGGCTCAAAGCTCTGCTGCCTCAGCCTCATAGCTGGATTACAGATGTGCCACCTGGCCGGGTAAGTTTTTTTCTATATATATAGTATGCAATTAGTGTCTTTGTCGTAGTTTTAGTAGAGACGGGTCCGCTTCTTGGCTGCAGGCTGTTGCTCCTGACGTCGAAGCAATCCGCCCGCCTCGGCCTTCCCCAGAGAAGCTAGGGTACAGGCGTGAGCCAACGCGCCCGGGGCCTAATTTTTGATATAATTTGGTTGGTCATATTCTTTCTATTTTTAGTGAGACAGGCTCGCTCAAGGTGTTTGAACTCCTGACTTGGACGATGCGGCCCGCCTCAGCCTTCAGGGTGCTAGGATTATTGAGTGAGCCATCTGCGCTGCCACAATTATCTAACACTGCTACCGGAATTAGGGTCAAGATCCCACCTGGTGAGCACTCATTCCCCAAAACTGCCCCTCACCTGCTTCAGAGGGGCAAGTCTGGGTCTTTAGAACTTCTGATGGACCAGCTTCAAGTTGGAATTCCCATGACCCCCTCCTTGGGTCTGATTACTTTACTCCAGGGACTCACAGAACTCAGGGAAACACTCACTTACATTAACCAATTTATTACAAAGGATATTTTAAAGGACATACATAAATGGCCAGATGAAGAGGTATATAGGGCAAGGTCTAGAAAGGTCCTGAGCACGGGGGCTTCTGTCCCTGTGGATTTGGGGTGCGCTACCCTCCCAGCACATGGATGAGTCCTTAATTCACCTTTTTGTCAGCCTCCATGTGTTCAGCTCTCTGGAAGCCCCCTGAACCCTGTCCTCTTGGGCCTTTTATGGAGACTATTGGATAGGCATGATTGAAGCAGGGACAACCGTGTCAAAGTGTGATTGGATAAAAAGGGTATGATCTAAACCCAATGAGGCCTGCCTATTCAGATTCTTCTTGGCCTCTCTGTGTAGCATTCCTTCCTCCAGTGTATGAGGCAAGACCCTTCTGGAATGAGGGTCTTATGACCTATAATCAGATTAGAGTCCTGCCCTGGGGGCAGGTGAAAGGAGAATAGGAGAAGATCAGAGAGCGAGAGAGATAGAGATTCTGTTTACTATAGCAAGAACTATGGGAGTTGTGAGCCAGGAACTGTGGGTGAAAACCTATATTTAACTCATAAATATACATAGAGAGAGATATATCTAAGTATCTCTCATAACATCACAGGCACTAAGGCAAAATGTTCCTGGTCAGAGTTGAAGCTAAACAGATATTTAAAGTGCTAGAATGTATTCCTTCTTTCCGTGAACACCTCTCTTCTCCTACCTGTCCATTAGGATCTTTTTTATATTTTTTTGAGA